TCAAGTAACAAATGCTCCTGTAGATAGACATGCTATAAGAATCTGGAAAAAGCGGTGATTCTACTCCGCAAAACGGGAGACAAAAATTTTCAAGAATTACATGTGCTCAGTTTGTCACCAGTCATCTCTAAGGTTTTCACGAACGGACTTCAAGAACAGTTGGACAGTGCATAGCCAAAGGATCAGTGCAGATTAAGGGGTAGGCTTAGTATGATGGGCCATCTCTAAATGATACAAGTAAATCCAACAAGCAAGGAATGTCAGCATCCTCTCCCTCTGGGGTTCACCGATTTCGAAAAGGCTTACGATTCCATCTACAACCGTTTATACATTCAAAAATATATGGTGGGCTAGAGAAAAGATACACAGCCCTGATCGCTATGAATTACAAGAATGCAAGTACTACGGCGAATCTTCACCAAAATGCATGCAAGTTCAAAATCGAGAAGGGCGCCCCTGACAGAGAGACTCAACATCTCCGAAGTTATTCACAGAAGTAGTCCTTGAAGAGGTTTTCAAGACACCCCTTGAGAAAAATCAGGGAATGAACATAAATATGCACTGTTTAAGCCATCTGCGGCTTGCGGACAATATTTTTATCTTCTCAAGGTTACCAGAAGAAGTCCAAAAAAATCCAAGAGCTGAATCGAGCTGAACAACGTCACCACAAAAGCAGGGTTGAAAGTAAACCTGCAGAGGATTCATGCCACCCTTAAGAAACACGTGACCGGACAAACTGCTGAAGTCAACGTACTTAAGCTTGTAGAAGTACAAAGCTATATCGGTGTAGCATAATCATCTCTGCAGCGAGGAACCGACTGTGTAAATCGGCATTGGAATAAAAGCATGGCGCACTTTCCGAAAGCTGAAAACGTTCTTAACCGGGAAACCCTTTCGCTTGATTCGACTTGTGCTTGCTACCAGTGCTAAATTATGGATCCGAAATGTACATTCTAACGCTGAAGGTCAATCATAAACTGTAGCCTACGCAAAAGGTGCATGTTGGGAATAACGAGAAAAGATAGGAAAGCGAATTAGTGGATAAAAGCGCAAACAAGAGTCTGCGATGTCATGATCGAGTGAAGAAGTTAAAGGGCCAATTAGTAGCACGCGTTACAATCAGAACTGACCATCACTGAAACAGAAAAGCATTGCACTGAGTTCCAAGAAAGAGTGAACGGCCGATGGGATCGATATTATGATGAGCTGAAGAAGCTTGATGGATTGAAATGGATGAAAATGGTGTAAAACAAGTCTGTGGCGATATTTTATGGATCTTTCCATCTAGCAGTGGATCGACGAAAGCCAAAGATGATGACGCTGTTGAACTGAAACAAGAGGAGCAATCCAAAGGACAGGAATACACCGTTTGCCAGAGCAATGAACTTAGCTGTATATCCATCTAAAGTGCCATTTTCAACAGCCAGATATTATAAATCCGGGCTGCTCTGCTGTTTAATCTCTGTTAGCCACAGATGACAGTGGCAAAACAACATTTTCAACGTCTGACTGAAGCAATGTTCTTTAGAAACGGTGCATTGCGCAATGCCAGAGTTTTCAGCCTGTCAGAAGAGCCCTGTAGATAATGTTCTTTAATATTAATTTTAAACTTCCGGCAAGTCTTTCGGACGTATGCCTGATCGCAGGTTCATAACTGACTCATAAGCAGCAATTCAGTTCCTTTCTAGTTGAGCCATTCCCATTGTTGTGCCAGTATTGTAGTAGACCTCAAAACCCATGCAATGGATGTGTGTTTTACTGGGCCAAGAGATCTAAGAAACGCAAGCACAATCGTGGCCAGTCTAATTTTAGGACATATCTCTGAGCCCAAGTTGGGGTGCAAACGATCACTGCCAAATGTCTTTCTCGAATACTCGTTCCACATATACGCTTGGTGCGGGTGACGATTTTTTTCCTTTTCGATCGAAGCGGAGTGGCAGTTTTTCTGGGCACAAAACGCATGTTCCCGAATAGAAGGCGAAGGAGCACAAGTCGTCGCATGAAGATATATGCTGGAGTGCGTAGGCTTCCGATAAACGGATGCTTCAAATCCTAGCGATTGCGTCCCCTTCAAGAGCACGTCCAGGAACGACAATGTTTCGTTCGCTTGGCTTCGATGAGAAACCCTTTCAGCCGTTAATTACCCGGCTTGTCGATTCACATAAATCACGAATCCCTGCGACTGTTTCCGGCGCTCGGTTTTTCGTCGAAATAACACATTGATGTCATCCGCAAATCAGGCGTCGAACAGCGACCCGAATTCTG